CCCCACTTTTCTCACCATCAGGCCCCAGACAAGGAACCTAGGAGACAAGCATTTTGTTGTATAAAAACACTGGACAACAAAAGCTAAGAATACAATAAAAATACCAACAATGAACACTGCGTTCCCTGAGAAGTTTGTTTGCATAACAATATATTAATTTGGTGTGTTTTCTTGGCATTTATAGAACAGAGCCAGTGACACTGTTTAGTTTAAAAACACTGAAAAGACTATAAAGTTTAAAATAAAGAAATTTTGAAAGACACACTCTTCAAGACATCCACATTATTACCCATATGGGAAATAGATGCTCCTTTGGCAGAATGCAGACTCTTTGCTTGCTCTTTCTATTTCTTAGACGGGGCCTAGAGGTGTTTAGAACTGAGTTTCTTTACAAATCACTGTAAACATCAATGTTAGAAACAATACTAATTGAAAGAATTCCCGGTTAAAATCCTGCCAGTCTGATAAGAAAAAATCATTATGATTTCAACAAAATCTAAGGCTGACAAATGATGTTTTCCAAATGAGTTAGCCCCCAAAACGTTTGACATTCAAAGTGTTTAAGCATTTACCAAATGAGTGATTTAATCCAGCAGATTAAAATTAATTGAATATATATATATATGTCACTGAGAGACTAAACATCTAAATTCCAGCAATAAAGCCACTACTGAAACATAGCAGCTTCTGTGAAAAAAAAGGATGTTAAAATTTACTACAGCCTGTTATTTAAGGAAAACTTGTTATTTTACAAACGTATTACTACATGAAAAGGAGAATACAGTTTAGTATGTTTCATTGTACTTTGCATGCAAAGTACAGTTCTTCAAATCTGACTGATAAAGTTTTTTAAGCACAAGATACAAAGAGAAAATTGATTTAAAAGATTGAGTTAAAAAGAGAAAGGATAAATAAAATGCTGTAATGCATGCTACACGTATGCAACTGCATTGAATTATGATATTTGGAATAGGCAAAGTAAAACAGCTGCACTATCCAAGTGACATTAAAAAAAAGCTTTAAATGTGATGTGCAATTCTAAAAACAATAACAACACATTAAGTTATTCTTGAATGTTAATATATGAATTGTGTTCTCAAGAAATAAGATCGATTTGAAGACAAATGAAAGCTGAAAGGAATTCAGCAATTTCCTAATGTGTTTAATAGAATACAGAAAAGTATGGTAATTCTACACATCACACTTTAAAAAATCAGCATTTTCTCTAGGCTTTTGTAATTCAAGGGTAATTCAAACTACATACTGTTCCTTTTGTGTGAGCATCCAAAAGCACTCTGTATTATAACTAACATTACAGAACGGAGATCTAGAATGGAGCCGAGAAAATATCCTTATGTTCTATTTATAAGGAAGAGGAAGTAATAGTATTTATGAAAAATTACCATGGTTTTATCAAAACATATAAATATTGCATTTTTTTGCTTTTTTGCAAAGATTGAATATGCACTCAGAAACAAAAAGAAATGTAATTTTGTTGAATAACTATCAGGAATTGACAGAACAAGAATAGTGTTCGTGTAAGGACAGCAAGGAGAAAACCACTGCTATCCAACATTGCTGCCCATCTGAGGTAAGCCATGGAGGGCACAGATGGCCTACAAGGTTACTGGAACTATATTCTCTAGACAGACCAGTCAAAGTTAGAACTCTTGGACTAAGAAATTGTATGTTTGGCAGAAACCAAAAACTGCTTTAGAACCGAAGAACCTCATCCCAAGCATTTTCTGGGACTGTGATGGTTTGGGGCTGCTTTGCTGCCTCAAGATCTGGGTGGCTGGCCATCGCTGATACAAGTTTGAATTCTACATTGTACCACAAGATTCTAGAGGAGAACTGACATTCTACCAGAACCTTAAGCTGCATCAAAAGTAGGTCTTACAGCAAGACAATGATCTTTAACATACAAGTACTGTACATCTAGAAAAGAATGGCTTCGGAATACATTTTGCATTTTACAATGACCTAGTCAAAGTTTGGACCTTTGAAACCCTATCAAAATGTTGTGGGAGGAACTGAAGCGAGTTGTCCATGCAAGACAGCAAGCAAAAGTCACAGAGTGTAAGGAGTTCTGTAAGGATGAATGGGCCAAAATTCCTCAAATCTGATGCTAGGGACTGATCAATGGTTACAGGAAATGTTTAGCTGTTGTCCTTGCTGCTTAAGCAGGCGCCACCAGTTACTGAACCTAAAGATTCACATACTTTAGCACACATGGATATTGAATGTTGCAGCATTTGAGAATAAATAAATGATGAAACAGTATCATGTATCAGAATCAGTATCATCAGGTTAACTTTATCTATTATTATTATTATTATTATTATTATTATTATTATTATTATTATTATTATTATTATTACTTAGATTAAGGTCAAATAACATCTTAGGTTTCAAATACAGTATGTTAAATATGTGAAAATACTAAGGTGTTCACAAACATTTTCAAGCTTAAGGCGGTCTGCTAAGCAAATAAACATATTAATTTAAATGTGGTGAATTTCTTTCAGTGTAATAGCTTTGTATTTTTTTCTTTTCTTGCGTTCTTCAAACCCTTGCCACTATTTTGACGTCAGAGTGCAAATCTAAATTATTTATTTCAATAAGTAACAGATGAATGCACCACTGCAAACAGACAAGAGACTGTATGAAAGCTAAAAGTAAGCTTACAAAATCAAAGTAGCCTAATGAAGTCATTTTTGAAACATGGGGTCCAGACGGCTGAGAAAATCCAGAGGTACAACTCTGCCTGTCATGAACTCTCAGCCTCTTGTAGCTCAGCCACTTTGGACCCCTGGAATTTCCTGTGGGAGACCAAAGGGGCAGAGTAGTAGGTAGTGCTGGCAACTTACATAGTCTTTCAAACTGCTATGATTTCATTTATGGATGCCAGATGGGGAAATCTTTCAAACTAAAATTTCTCTAAAACGCTATCCCAGCAAAAGGCAGTATTTTCAACCCCCACGCCTTCCCTCATTGCTCACTTTCTTTTAATTGCTTGCTTCATAACAGAACATCTTTTATGACCCCTCAGGCAAAAGAGAAACATAGTGAATATATTTTTAGGAAGGGTGAACTCAAACATGCAAAGGTTCAGCCAAACCAAACAGCATGTGGAACAGCCGCACTTGTTGGGAGATTCACACCTCTGGGCTTGCTGGAATTAAAGACACACACTATACAAAACAATAGGTAATACAAATATGCTTAATAACTATAAACTGATTGTAAAGTAAAAAAAAAATCTAGAAACAAATACCAAAATAACTTGTAATATAGCCACTATTATTGATGGTTGACTGTAGATACCAAACTTTGTCTGACTAGTATAGTCATTATTAATTAAAAATTAATCAAGCTACATTTTTAACTATTTTCATTTAGTAACTATTTAGTAACTCTTTTCTAGTCTACTCAAGACATCAGGAAAGCAAGAGAAACCTGTTTTTAGGGGAGTATTTGCAATGCATCATTTAATTACCAATTATTGCATAAATATACGAAATTGAGTTTCCAAGTCCTAGAGCACCAATGATATTGAACGACCATTCAGCCAAAAATCCCCCTATTAGTTATATTAATTGATTGATCAAAAATCCTTTCTGATGTGCATCCCAATTGGCTTAATTGGTAAAGACCTAGGCTGACCTTTAGGAGCCACATGTCCAAACTACAAATTGAAAAACACATCTTCCTGAAAAGAGCTGAGTATTTATTACACATTAACTTTGAATTACAAAGACTGATGTATAACACAAACAAAAAATTGCAATCAATTAGTATATGCTTAGTTTGTTTTTATTTCAAATACCCATAGGTTTTTTGAGTTCTAGATTTGTATTTTGGGGATTAGAAAATACTGAGAATTTCCACAAAGCAGAAATCAAGAACAACATTATTTCAGCTGATCATCTAAATAAAAATGGTGTACATAATACATAAACATGCTTAAAAGCTGTAAAGCATTAAAGTCAAAAACTGAGAGGTGAAATTGCCATCTTCTTTGGGCCCCAGAAGCTCTAAGGTGGTTGTAGAGAGAAAGGTGAAGTTTTATTTACTGATCAATATTATTTTGCACTTGACAGGCCTGATAGAAGACAACATGTTTAGAGAAGGGATGGTGAACATTATCGTTACTGTTGTATTGTTGAAGCCAATCAAATGGTGAATGAAAGTAAAACAATTTAAGACTGAATCTTCTTTACACAAAGTGAAGATTGAGGGCAAACATAATTTTAAAGCTTAATCTTTTAACCTCTTCATTTTCAAAGACCTTGAATCTTCCATTTTGCAGACCTATCTGGGAGTGTTGATTTTCCAGCGGAAGAATGCAAGAGCCAATAGGACTTGGATGACATTGGATTATTTCAACAAAATAATTTTGTTGTGCCCTAGTACGTTGTGCCCTGGCCAACTCATTTCATGGACTGAGTCCAATGAACATCTGTGGGACCAACTCAATAGTGCCATCAAGAGGAAAAAAAAACTGTTGTCAACTTACTGCACTAAACAGGAAGATTTAGAGAACATCCCACAGGATATAGTCTGATGATGTCTACAGTATGTAAAGTATCAGTACTTCCAGGATTATCTTAATGCTGAGAAAGTTCCTGCTATTTTTGGATTTTGATAGAGTGCAAACTTTAAAACCGAAACCGTGTACTAATTCTGCATTATGTCCTATGACTTTATCTAACCTGTATGTTTAAAATATTGGATTAGTCCAGCGTTGCATTTCTTTTGACAGGGATTTTTCTAACTTGAGGCTTCTTGACTTAAATAATGTTTTGCTTTATTGAGTACAGCCCTCAAGGGTTCAGCCTTTCCATAATTTGCACCAACAACAAGAAGCAGAAACAAATAATCATACCACTAGGTAAATCTCAAAGTCATCGGATCAGGACTGTTAAGACTGTAAGGTAAAACAGGTGTCTAACCACAATCTCTCAGAAATTAATAATGGAGATATTTCTTGGTCTTACCTTCACCTCACATTTCTTGTGGCATGATAACCGGCACACTGGGGGAAGAAAGAAGAAACATGTTAATTGCGTTTTCATCTGTAGAAAAAATATGTTCAAACCTTTGCTGTAGCTACTGTATTTTCAATTCTAAGTATTTTTTATTCAGACAGAGAATGATCAATATCCATATCCACCAACAGCCATTTTTGTGAAGTTCTAGTGTCATCGTATTCCAAAAGACTAATTCCAGTTTTAACTGCTTTTATGTTATATGATATTTATAATAATCAACAATTTTTCTTTATAACTAAATATCTCAAGGCCACCAGCTAGTTTAATTTACACAATTTGCTTTGTTCATTTAAATTACATTAACATTTTTTTCCCATGCTTTAAATGTACTATGTCCAAGTTCCTGTAATCTCCCTTTGGAGTCATAAAATGCAAAACAACCCTAGAGACCCAATTATACCCACACTGTTGTAGCTGCTTCACTGCTCAAATGACTGTAGGAGAGGGACAGCCAGTGCTCTGTGAGATGTCTGCTGCACAAAGATAAGTCTCAGTAGGCTATCTGATCTCAACCCTCCTCAGCCTCCATTACACTGGCCTGACTCCAAGTCCAACCCACACAGGTACATTCACAAGATCAGGGTTTCAGACCCCAGGAAAATACTGGCCATATTGTTCTTGAACAGTCGCTTACAACTCACAGTGCTGTGTCTATGGTACGTGGGAGGGAACACCAGAAACAGAGAACCTTTAAAAGGAATTGTAGTTTCTTTTTAAAAAAAAAGGTTTAAAATCAAACAGCCCTACTTCTCAAGCCAAACTTCTATATATTAATCTTATACTGTAGTTTCTTTATCTTGATTTCATCAGGTTGAATCATTTAAAAATGGAAGGGGGGAGGTGGAATCTGTTTTTGGGTACTAAATTGTTGAGTGAAGTCACAATCAGTGAAAATTCATAAAGTATGCTGACTTTGGACAGAAGCAACCTAGAATGTATATGGTCTCCCAATTATGTAAAATTATAATCCATTTTAAATTTTAAATAACAAAAAACATCTTATTCTGTCTTTTACATGTACAATAAGTGACTCTGTTTATGTTGCTCTCAGACAAAGGTAACTCTTTTTGAAAATAATCTTAAAAAATACCTGTGTAGCATACAGTATATTGTACGCAGTGTGTGTGACTAAAGATTTGCTTATTAACAAAATAAAACCTCTGCAAAGGGTTTTAAGGGTTTTAATTGCATATTATCATTTCAGGGAAGATTTTTTAAATCTTTTTTTTTGTTCATTAAATGCAAAAACCTTCCAGCTTCATTGCTGGAGTACATTTCCCATGACAGGAGGAACAGCATGGAATTTTTATTTGCCAAACATACGCATACTTTTTTAGTTCACATGATATTTTCATAGTATCAAAACCTCCTGAAAGCTATGCTTGCCCTGAGACAAAGTTAAAAAGTGCTTCTGATCTATGGGATTGTGGTAAAGCTTCTGCGTTGACTGTGGCACCATATCCAGACTGATTGTTGTTTTTCCATGTTCTTTTTTAATTTATTCTTATTGGTTGTGAGTCTTCAACTAAATTGGATATGCTCCCACTGTACAATCTGGGGAGAATTAGCTGTGAATATCTGTCTGATTTAACTAAATCACTGTACTAAAAGTACTCTGGACTATGGTTTCAGACAAAGTGTGTGCTCAAGCACCCCCAGTATTATCATACAGTATTATTGTTAAAAATGTTTTTACTTTGTACAGTATGAGTTTGTATGTGGAGATAGCATTGCAAATTTAATAAATTATGTCTTGTCCCACACTCATTAGGCTGCTTATCTGACTGTAATTTGATTCTGATTCAGCTGATATGTTATTTAGCAACCTACTTTATGATAATTAAATCATAATGTATATCATACATACTGTATGTGTCGTAATATTTTATCTGAAAAAGTGTCTTCTACCGATGTGCAAACCTATCAGGGGAATTCAGAAATGGACAGATTTGCAGTATGGAAAAACAGCCTGACAAAAAACATACGTCAGTATCTGTACTTAATTTGATTTCTGGTTTTGACAGCATGAACAGTCTGTCAGCACGACGCTTGTAGCAAAGTCATGAACACACAAAATGTGTGAGTAAGGATATGTTCTGCCAAGAAAAACAAAATGCATTTCGCTGCTCTGTATCCATGTTGCAGACACTATTAAACAATGTCATTAGCAGTAGCTAAATGCCAAGGAACATGTTCTTAACAGCAGCAACATTTCATAACACTATTAAAGGTAATGAGCGGAGAAAGAGTAATGCATTACTTAGAAAATCAGACACCCCGTAACTTTGAAAAACTTGTTCTTATATTGCAATGTGCATGTTCTTAAAATCATTTATAGAAACAGAATGGGAAAAAAAACATCCAGTGATTTTTACACAAAGCAATTAGATTCACTCTAGACTAGTGCTGGTATGATTGTTTGCAAATGAGACAGATCATTAATGACAGCTCACTAATTTACGTAACATTAAACGTAACAATCTCTGATTTATCAGGGATTCTAGCAACTAAAATGGTAAATTCTGTCATGCAGCAATAACAATAACAGCTTTCTGTTCTTAGATATTGTTTGGGATGCAGTCTGAAAGACAAGAAAGCAATCATTTCTCAGTTTTCCTAGTACAGTATATTTGAAATTGTTTCGGGTTCCACACTGCAGAATTTCTGGAGGATCATTTTCCGAATCAGGGTTGCCTTGTTCACATAATAACAACCCATTCATGAAGATGAAGCTGTCAGAACCCCTCCCCTGCATTCATGAGCAGTTAGCCAGCTGTGGTGCTGGATCACTTAGACATTCACCACAGGAAGAAACTCACAAAAAACAGCAATATTGCTTGCAAAATGCCAATTAAGAATTTTCAAGCGAAACTGGGAGATATTTTCCAAAACCGAGGGACCAGGACAGCTGGAGCAGGGTCAAGGTGGGGTTTTGTTGACACATGAGCCACAACTAAGATACATAAAAGATCACGCTGTTAATATGGAACTCAAACCCAATGAAGACACATGCCATGGGCACCCTGGATCCTTATCAGAAAGAGGTAGGTATGATAAAAAGACAAAAACACAAAGTGTTGGGGATGAAGTTGCAGTGGGTAGAACACTTAAACATGAAAACCAATGGACAGAAAAAGAAGACAGGAAAAGGGTGGGTCAGGCTGGCACTGTCGAAGGGGGCATGGATGCTCTGTAGGGGGCTGATGTCATCAGGATTGGCCCATAGAGAAGAATGACATCATAACAATTCCAGTGAGCAAATCTATTGCAATGGTGTATGGAAATGTCAGACTGGTGTTACAGGTTGGGAGCAGGAAACAGCTGTAGGACTGATGTCTGGTTCAGATAGGGAAGAGTTGCAATTGGTGTGGACTATGGATTGGTGCAAGAATAGACAAGGCTGACTGCTAAGAGAAGGCCAGTATGTGCAGTAAAACAAAAGGCCTTAAGGTGAATGAGTGAGCTGATCACCAAATAGTCCGGGTGAAGAGTGAAAGTTTCAAAGATGGAGAGTTGTGTAAAAAGAGCGTGAACCCAGTTGAAAAGGAGATTGGAGTTGGAGTTCTGGGTAGTGTTGTACTCCTGGAAAATTCGGCTTCTGAACTGAGCCAATGCTCTGCGGCTTGCCAAGTTGAAGGGAAGTCTGGGGTTTGTTTTCCCTCAATCAGATGTAAGTAGAAGGGAGCCACAGATATCTGCATGGTCTTTTGAGATCAGATCAACCAAAATTCAATGCAAATCAACTAGAAACATTATATTTATATACAGTATAGGTAAATTCAGGTTTTAACGCCTCCAAAATCTGAATATAAATCTCAATTTATTTTGCTCATATTTTACAAAACTTTCAGCATGTTCAGTGTGTTGCGCAGTGCACTGCTTTAGTAATTAGTATAAATGTCAATGGGCAGCAAAGATGGTACAAACGCAAATACTGAGTGCTGTAACAGCAGAAGAGATTATCCTTCCACAATAAGGGATGTCTCTTATGAACAAAGAAGTATCTTTGCCAATCATATCAGGATAAAAATAAGACCACTGTTATCACGTCCACAGGATGTAAATACTACTGTCATCACTGTTATTAAATATTACAGTGATCACTGTATTACTGTATTACAGATTTAGTGATTCTCATTAAAAAACATCTGTTTTTTCTGTCTGGTTTCTGTGTATTTTTTTTAACATCACGCTGGTGTTGTGTAATGGTGCTCATTTGAGTGTAAACTGTAAACAAAGGGATAAACAGACTTTAGATAACAGTGCCTCAGCAGACAATCAGGATAAGGGGGGTTGATCTGTTTTACAATAAAAAAGAACTATAATTCCACATCCCAAGGGTGAAAACAGTAAAGAAAGGGGCTCCAAATGATGAAATCTCTTTAAAGCTTACAATAATGAGATATTTCATAAAATGCAATAGAAAAACTGAAAGAGAGTATTGAAACTGAAGTCTCTAGTTCCAAGACTGAAATTTCAACAAAGACGGCATTTACACTTTTCACTTCTAATATACCAATTCTTAAAATGTTTTACCTTTGTAATTTCAGTATTTAGGAGTGTACTTTCACTGTTTAACCAGTGTATTCTTTAGAACTGTAACAAGAGCTACATTTTGAAAAAGCCTCATTTAGGATCCCAAAAATCCCAGTCATGTGTTAGAAACATTAATAATGGTCAAGACAGAATACATAATGTACAATAAATTATAAAGAAATATAGACAACTCCTTACAACAACCCCTGTTTTTTTAGACAAAAGCATATATGACTTTGATAACAAGATGGTCTCCAAACCACAAATCAGGGTCTTCGCTCCTCCCTCGTCTCCAAAAATAAGACCATTGAAATGTAAGCCTTGATTTTAACAGCACAAACCAAGCTCTTTAACAAAACACAACTAAGCAGGCGAGGAAAACGCCATATTGGGTGCTAAAAAAATAGCTCTATTGACTTAATCAGACCTTACCTTGTTAGGAAATCAA